TAAGCTGCTAACTCGCGAACCAGAAAAGCTAGAGAGCTGAAATTTTATGGGAATGTTCCCCGCCCAGGTAGGTACTAATGAGCTCAAATCCACCCCCCGGGTAAGCGTGGTACCCGCGTACGAGCCCCCAAAGTTTTTACCGCGTAAATTCATAACTCGGGATTCTCAGAAGCTAGAGATCTGAAATCTTAGGGGGGTGTTCCCTGTCTACGTGGGTATTAACGAGTTCAAACCCTGCCTGCGGGTAAGCGTGGTACCTGCGCGCAGGCCCATGAAAGTTCCTTCCGGGTAAGTTACTTACTCGAGAACGTGAGGAGCTAGAAGACTGGAATTTTGAGGGGATGTTTCTTGACAGTCCTGGCGGCCAGTTTGAAATTCTTTCAGATAGAAGCATCTGCCGAAAAGACTGATGCCGGTAGCGACAGAAACTGCGGTGAACTCTGCAAAAAACGCATCTTCGCACGGGCAGCCCATGCGTTGGCCATTTATTTTGTTTGCATTGCAGCTGGTGGTGTGTGTCGGCATGCTGCTGGTACCATATATGGTGAGCATTTTGGCGCCGAACAACACGGTGCGCGAGTGGCGCGACGTGGTATTCGCAACGGCTGCTGTGCTGGTCATCTCGAATGCACTGTTCTGCTGGATGTGCAGTGCTGATCCGGAGCCCTGGGCGCTGCTTGGCTTACAGAAAACGGAAAAGGATGCTGATGTGAAACTCCGGCTGAGCCGTGGCGAAACCTGTGCGAATGCCTAGAGCTGTCTGTTGCTAGCATAATCGTGTGCTGGGGCACACTTTGTGACAAGCTCACGGGATTTACTTCAAGACGACTGGAAAACATTACTGAGAAAGAAAGCACTTGGATCAGGGAACGAAAATTTTTAGATCTGGGAAATTATCTAATTCCTTGAACACTTTGATTATAAATTTCGAACTCGAAACCCGATAACTTTAAAACTGGATGTTTTCAGTGTGGCGTAATTAGTACGCATTCCTATCCAAGGTACCCTTCTGCACGTACATAATTTGAAACCGTTGTATCCGCTAATAGGCATAATTTGAAACCGTTGTATCCGCTAATTTGAAACCGTTGTATCCGCTAATCTTGTTGAAAATGATTCTGTTCTTGCCTCTCCGTAAACCACAGAAATTGTCTGAATTGGAAGTTAGCATGACATCTGGACAGCTCAGAGGCTTTATTGTCGAATCATCGAGATACAGCCGAGTTGTCGGATGTGTGCAACCACACGGTTGATAAACTTTGACCGGGCTGCTGCTGCTTCTGTTTTATGTCTGTTGCCTCTGTTAGAAGTTACAGTTTTCTTTCTTCGTGCGTGCCACTAAACTACGGTACTTTTGCCGTTCACCAGCAAAGTGAGCACTTTTGTTCATAGCAAGATCTGTAATGACACATCTGCCATTGGTTATTTTGACGATCGCGTCTTTATTATAAAACAGCAGTACAGTCCGGTCTGTTACTTTGTAGGGTGTGTTCGCTTTGTGGTTCTCGAATTTGACCTTTTGCTGGCTGTTCCGCGTTCGAGCACGTAATCTTTGCTTCGCTCAGCCGGTTAAATTTATATTAAAGTTATTTCTTCCAGAAAATTATGAGGTCGTCAAAAGGAGATAAGTTCAGCAGAGGGAGAAGGGTCATAGGTTCACACAGAGGTCATGAGGTCAGGGCCGAGAAGTTAGCCGAAGGGCATGAGGTTAGCTAGAACCGTGAATCCTGCGACAGGTTTCATCCTTATTTTTGTTTCTACAGTGTTTCGGATTTCTGTTGTTGTATTTCATGTTTTTTTAGCAGTCTTACTGTTGCTCTGTTGTAAGGTGCCGACTATGCCGCTGTTCGGGGCGTTTACTCGTTTTTCCGCCCTCTCCTCCTCATCGAATTTAGTCCACCCCAAACATGTGTGAACTCGTTCTAGTAATGATAACCAACTATTCGTTTCAAGGGGTCGTGTGGAGGGAGGGGACGGGGATGGGTTTTTTATGCTTAGCAGGAAAGTTGGTGCTGAGAGAAAGTTAGCAGGCTCGGACGCAACACCTAGAACCTTACTTGGACAAGAAACCTAATACCAGGATTTTTACAGCCTGAAGTCGAATTCGAAAATGAGCGCACAGGGCGCAGCCGGGTAAGTTTCAGCAATTGCCTTGGCGAGCATGTTGGTTCTTGTCCGGATAAGGTCCCAGTTATTGCGTTCAAGGCTTCTAATTTCCTCAGTAGGAGCTTCCCTCCTCGTGAATCCTACCTGTTTCCAGTTTCTACCTCCACCAAGATCTTTCCTTTCAGTAATCTCCCTCCACAAGACTTCCAGAAATCAAACTACGACCCCGACCGTCTGTTCTCCTTCCGCCCCCTCTACGTCCCCTTCTATCACTTCCCTCTTCCCCCTCCTCGCAGTCATCACAAACCGACTCTCCGGAGCCGGCTGAACCCGGTAATTGTAAGCAGCTAAATTTCTTTTGGGGCAGCCAGTAGGTCCACGATTCGTTTATTCTTTTCATTGGCGCTGGCGCATGGCGGGAAGTCAAATCTAAATTCGCCGCCACTTGCTTGTAAGCAATTCTCGGAAGGGGGAGCAGTCCTAATGGTAGCTGTTGGCACTTGCTACCACTCGGGTTACTTCCTGGTGTCTTTCCCTCGTTGTGCAGAATGAACACGGAGGAGCTTTGAATTTGGCCAGTACCCAGAAAGTATGTGTCTTCCATAATCCACTGTCTTACCATTTAAGTAATTTTGGGTAGATGTCTTACACTTTTGAATCCGAGGAAAGGAAGAGGGCAACTTCT